CTCTATGGCCCAATAAACCCCATCTCCATTCACGCCGCTACCGACTTCCGCTCAGAAAGCACGAAGCGTTCTCTCCCGTGCCCGATGTAGTCCGTCATGTGTTCGTGACAATAGAATCGCGAGGGTTCATGCATAAATGCGACGTAACAATAAACAGAGCGGCTGAGAGTACAGGGGTGAGACGCGGGAGGGAAGTGGCCCTTCAAAAGCCATCATAGCCGGAGGATCAGAAACCGATATGAGATTCGGATATATATGAATGATGTATCGCGCCCACACACGCTGTGCTACTATTTCTGTTGCTGCGTTGTTATGAGAGTGAGTAAGAAACATCGCGAAAACTCTTCACTCGAAATATATACGCGTGCACACACATTGTGTATAACTATATATATATCTCAGACTTGCCGGATATCGCCGCCATCGTGCGAAAAATCTTTTGTAAACTGGGGAATCGTAACTTTGGTTACTGTGCATACAATGTAAAAGTGTATTGCATAATGTTCAGTGACAATTTAACACTGATAAGAAACGATAGCAAATAACAGAAAATTAAAGATATTATGAAAAATAAAAGAAATGTAACGATTAATTTATAATTAATAATCAAATTTTTTTAATAATTAGATTTAACAGATTTTCGCGTGCAATTATCCCCTTTATAGAAGTCGTTACGAGAATAGCGGAGAGGCCTTGTTCGCGTTTACAGTTAGTATGACCCGTCTGCTGGATTAGATACTCGTAAACTCTTACAGATGATAGGAAGACGAGGGACGCGAGGGGTGATGTTAAGTTCATGAAGGAGATGCAAAGGGGAGAAGGGGGAGGAATTGATGGCACGCGGGAACCGAGGTTGCCTCGAGTGGCGAAACGGCTGGAAGTTCCTTTCATGTAAAGTAATTAACTACCGGCAACCGTTGACAAACACCTTACCCTCGTTCGCGGGCCTGCTGGCCTCGAGTGTCCTGGCGTCGTGTCGTTTTCCTGGCACGAACTCGCCGCCATTCCCTTTATCCTTTCAAGGGAGAGGATTTTTGTATTTTTCATCAACCCTCCGACCCTTCGTTTTCCTTGCTACTCTGGCCGCTAACTTGTCTGGCTTTATAGCCAGCGTTCCTTTTCGTCCTTGAGGCTTCTCGTCCTGCATTAAACTTCTATCATCTTTGATCCTCTTCGGCTTTTGCGCAAACCACTGGCCGAGGAAAATCGACCTCGCTCTTTTGTTTTATGAGGCCCTTTTATTATCATATATTTTTAACAAGAAACCCGCGTACTTCAAAGCATTATAAAAATTATATGCGCGTAAAATTTTTCGTCTTAACGTATACGGAAATGCGTGTAGGATCATTTGCATATTTAAGTGCTGGTTAGAAAAAGAACTTGGATTTGAATTGCAAATGCTCAAATTAATAAAGGTTTTGGCAAAATATACGTCCAACAATTTTACGTAAACATTGCAATATCTATTATTTTTTTAATATAAAATATACTAAACAAGCATGTATATATACATACACCGATGTTTAGAGATATTTTAAAAATATCTATTGTTTAGAACTCAGTTATACTAAAAGCCTACTTATGCTCTTACTAGCTTTATCCATCTTCACCTTGAGAATTTATCTTCAGTTACAAACTTTCACATCTCCCGGGATATCCAGACTTTTCTGATCACCTATTCTCAAGAGATACCAGTTTGTATTTTTAATCAGTATACGATGAGCGCCTCCATTTACCCTTCCCTTTCTTAACTTTATTGCTCAGCTACCTTCTCTTCCACCATGACGTTGTCTACTCCTTCCCCGTCTTTCACTACTTCGTCATCGGCGTCCCATCGGACCAATAAGCGTCGAAGTTTCTACGTTAAACAGATAACAGTCTTGACAAATAATTATGAACTTTGTATAACATCACCAATGGACATTTCAATTAGTTAGAGATTTATAAATTACATAAATAAAGACTGATCAATTATAAAGTTATATTAATTAATTATTTGTGTGTATTTTATATAATTACATATACGAATAATATACATATGCTTATAGATGTAATTTTCTTCATAAATAAAAATCTAGTCTCATTACACAGTGTGAATTACTTTACAACTTAATTTCCCTCGCGGTGCATTGTTTGTTAATTGATCTGAGGGGGATTGAGGGGAACGTCATTTCGAATATGGGTCCAAAACTGAGGTTATCAGAGTAACAATGGTTTGACAAAACTGTTAAACGTAATTAGAATTATAATAGCATTCTGAAGCAAATGAGAGACCCATATTACAACATAATTAAAGCGTAGCCCCTAACAAAGTCCAATATTATCATTAAAACCTCCATTATATAACTCCTTGATATGTTTAATGATATATTTAATAATGTAATATACCGGATGTCCATAAAGGTCGGATTTAAATTTATACAATGTGTAAATGGGATCGAATAGATAAAAAAAGTTCAGGTAACCGTATGTTCAAAGATGCTTTATTTAAAAGTTATAAGCATTCAAAGATTCACGAGCAAAATTGTTCTTATAACTTAATACGGGATCACTGGCATATTATTATGCATGATCACATAATTTAAAGTGTGCGCATAATTCAGATAAAACGTAGTTATTTTTTGTAATCACAAACATAAAATTACGATGACTCAGATATCAGAATTATGACATTGAACACATTAAAATCTAATAAAAGCAGAAAAATATGATAGAAGACTAAGTTAGTATAGAGACAATATAGATTAAGATATGTAAACAATAACTAGAGAATTATTTATTTCCGAGTCAGCGATGTCTAATATAATATAAGACTTTAATAAAATTATAAGAACAATGTTGTTCGCTTATCTTTGAAAGTTTATAATTTTTAAAAAATCAATTTCGGACATATGTAAGAATACATATATTACCCTTCTTATTCATTCATTCTTAATGTCAAAATGCATCTTTCATTATTTACAATAAACGTAATGCAATCTAAACAGAATAAAAGTCAAAAGTCACAACAACAGTCTGAATTTTATTACTCAGACTGAATACACTCACATTTTTAAAATAGATTATGTTATCTCTTGATGAGGAAAAACATAATAAGTAATATCTACATAACATTGGATCAATCATGATAACCTTCATTACATGCTTTTTTTATACCAATATAAAAATATAATGTACAAGTTATGAAACGTATAAATATGAAATCTAACATTCGATATTTAGAAAATGTCAATGCATAAATTAATGGCATTACTAGAGATATAAAATAATTTAAATGCAATTATCAAATTATCTTGTATATAACATACACATGTTTCGTGTTTTGTATATTAAAAACATAACACAAACAAAATATTAATTAACAATGATAAATCTCTAAAACTCCATCATTTATAATTTAAAAATAAATGTAAATGAGAGTGTGCAAAGAGATTGGATCAAAACAACTAGTATAATAACTCGAAAGTATATTTCGTGTTAAATAAAACTACGTTATGTGCTAAAGTCTGATCACAGATCCGTCATTAAATGATCTTTTGTGCATTACAATTTATTGATGAACATTTTCGAAGTAACCGCTGATTTTATCGACAAGCTATCTTCGCCACAAACTCCTCTCCATGACGAAACGAACCATCAAGGACAAAACCATAAGAAAGATAATAACCGCCGCTGCCGCAAGAATAGTCCCATATCCTGTTAAAAATTATTTATTTTAGACTTTCTTTTGTCCATCGTAATTATTTTTGACAAACAAATGATTAGTAATTTTGACCGTTTTTAATTTTGATCTTATTATTGAGAACTGAATATTGCTACGATCATTAGTTTACGATTGCGTTAAAATTAAATGCAATATCGATCTTTTCGTAGTTGTTAAACTAACACAAGGTAAAATGTTGATACTAATTAATTTATACTTAAATACTCAAGGCATGCATTAAAATAAAATAATAAATAACTTTTTTCTACGACAATTTTCACAAGCCATTCAATGATAATTTTACTGTTGGCCGAGAAAATTTTTTCTTTCATTTTTTCTTGATATATAAAGTCTTTTAAATTAAGATTAAATTTTAATTCATTTCACAAAGATATGATAAAAAATTTTAAATAAATTCAAAGAGCATACGTACATTAATTTTATATGTATGTAAAATAGCAATTTCAGAATTAAATGTATAGATAATTCTTTTAATAGTAAATTTTACGATTAAATATACACAGTGTGAAGCGATTATAAGTTTTGATCATTGATACTTACTTCGCAATTTTTTATCATCAGTTTTCTCTGCGATCTCATTATCTACGTATGACGTCGATGCAAAAGAATTCCTATGGCAATCTAACTTGAAGAACCGCTGAGGCGTTATAGGCATCGGTAACGCGTGCAGACCATTAATCCCTTGGGAATTGAAATTTGTAGCCGGTATTAGAGATGCTTGGAAAGGTGTCAATGGTATTTGCATCCTACAGGTCGCCCCGTTTGTGTTGCCGAACGAAAAAAGTCCATACGGCCAGCCGGCGTGATTTGGTAGCGCGACTGCGCTATAAGGCGGTGGATTGTCATTATCTCCATTGTCGTTTACGGTAATTGAGGAGAGCGTTATCACGGCAACCGGATTATTCGAGGTTTCGCCAATCTGTACGTTATGATTCAATACAGATTTGTCCTGAGGTGTTGACTTTAATGACGATACGTCACCTTGAACGTTCGACTTGTCCGTCGACCATCGTTGCAGTCCTACACGTGTTTCTGATGCATCACCGCACGTGTCAGTAGATAACAGCTGCTCGGTCTCCGGGCTTGCCAAAAAATCTACAATCAAAATTAAAATTGAACATATTTTTGATAAACAATATTTTTCTCATTTTTGTTCGAGTACCCTCGCCCGACGATAACATTTGCCGAAAAAAACTTATACTTAGACAATATATAAAATTATAAATAAAAATTTATGTAATACAATATAATATGTAAACACAATATATACAAATTATGCTACTATACATTTTTATTGTTATAAAGACGTATATTTAAATTACATTGATTGTTCTCACTGTAATAAATTTTTATAGATATAGAGTTAAAATCATCTTAAATTTATAAGAATTTCTGAATTATCTAAAAAGATTAAATTAAATTATCTTCTAATTATATATTGCTCTAGTTTATATTTTGTTTTTGTTTAATTGTTATTTATGCTGTGTATTTGCTTTTACTTTTTATTTAATATTGTTTATAATTAAAATATAGCAATAGTATTTATATATTTTTTAATTTAATTAATAATAAATAAATTTAGAATATATAATTATCTTTTCCATATTTAATAATTAATAATTTAGTAATTAAATTTAATTAAATTTAATAATAATTTAATAATATGATAAAAATATATTAGATTACAACTAGGATTACTAAATAATATACTTATTTACATCAAGTTTTAAAATTAACAATAAAATATATATGTGTTGAGATTTATATAGTACATGAAATAAACATAAGAAAACTTTCAAAATCTTGTAAATGTGTCTGCATATGATCAAATCGAATCACATAATGATGGTATATTAAACATTACGACACAGTTTTCGCAATGCATTTCTATAATACTTAGCTAAGAACCTGGATTTTAAATGTTAATTCATGCTAATCAACTTACGTGGACGTCGCGGATCAATATATATTAAGTGATAGTATATTTTTTCCTATATCGTTGGTCTGGATCGTTTTAAGAGTATTTTTAAGAGTATTTTTATAACAAACTTCTATATATTATATTACATTGCTAATATGTATAAGATTCATATGATAAAATGTAATGTAAGGGTAGCTATATTTAATTGAGCAGAATTTGATATATCATGTCTTTTGATAAGACGTGATAATAAACGTACGTTTTAAAGTAGAAATAAAACAATGACAAATATCAAGTATATATATATAGTGCACATATGAAAATAAGAACTATGCCAAAGATTTGTAGCATACTTAGCTGTCCAACCTATATATTCTGTCTTATAATAGATATGGCTACTCTTCCATCACTTTCATAGTACTGTTATATTAGCAGCCTAACATAATATAGAAGTCTGTGATTTTTGCACATTACAGATTATTATCCGTTGTAAATCTCACGCGACAAAATATAAAGCACAGATTGTTCGAAAAATAATCACGTGCACGCTATATGTAAATTGCAAGATTAGCTTTAATTTACGACATGAGTCATTAATATAGTACCGTTCAATAAATTTTAAGTTACCTTTCACTCAAAAGTATTTCTCGTCATTTTATTGCATATTACATAATATATATAAATATGTATATAAATTATATAAATATATAATTTTATATAAGTTATAATTTCCATAAAATGTTATGCAAATAATGCTGTAACAATCATAGTCTATTTATCTTTCCGTTTTTCTCAATTGACGCATCACTTCCTTATTTCGCGAACACAGTATTCAATATCATATGGATATGTATGTATCCATTGTACGATTACATACGTTGCATACACAATTAGCAAATGCCTTGAAACTTAGAACTACTTTCATCCATAAAGGACAATTAGTCAATTTAATGCAAAATAAGCAAGTATTTTATGTATTCAAAAGTGCAGAGAAAAGGTTCGACAAAAAATATTTCTAAATATGTAATTCATTTAGTTTGCATCATCATTCGCTTGATTTATAACAAAAATCAGAGAAGATTTCTTGATGATCGTTTTACAACACTTGTAATGATGAAATTTGTGCGTGATATATATCTATATCACCATAATATGTTAATAAATTGAATGAAATTACTTATACTTTATGTAATGGATCGTAAAGTAATTTTTTTTTATAGCGGCGTTTTACTGATGAATATATAAATATGATTTTGCAAATTGTAGCTATACAGGATGTTTCATTTAATTTGTCCGACTATATTACGCAAAATGTAGTCTTTTAAACGGAAAAATGAAAACAGGACAATAATGGGATGGTCCGTAGACAATTTTGAATCGAATTACATCAATCTGCAAAATCCAGCAACCGTATCTTAACGAGATTTCGAGGGGAAGAGGAAGGTTAAATTTTTCACATGGAAATTCTTGACAAAAAAGACATCATTCGATAGGTTTTGAAGAAACAAATCTAACGATCTATAGTGTAAAAGGTCCGATTATTTTTGAGATATCAACGTGGACAGATTGATCGAACAAAAATCGATACTCTTGGGAGCCGAGGTTTTTCAAAAATTCGTTTCTATCATATCGAATTCGTTGCTATAATATCGAAGATAAATCCTTAATATTATAAATCTTTGAATTCATCTTTTCGAAATCTATCGAGCCTATCGAGTGGTATTATATTTGTCGAGAGTTTCCATTTAAAAAATTAGCCTTCTTAATGGGACGGGTTTCTCAGATTGACGTAACTTGATTCAAAATTGTCTATGGGCCATCTCATTAATTGTCTCGTTTTCATTTTTCCATTTAAGAAACTATATTTTATGTAATATAGTTGAACAGATTAAATCGAATACCCTATATAGCTGTTAATATTTAAATATCGATTATTGATCACTCGCATATGTAACATTTATTTCATCGCCAAGTCTCCTTGAGAACCAGTATATTACCTTCACCAGTGAAGCGCGATAACCGAACACTTTCTATTACAGTATGCTTATAAGTGGTAATGTGAATCGAATTTCCACATCTTATACGTCCCACATCAAATGTATACGTTTATTTTAAAGGACGGTTCACCCCAGCCACTTTCCCATGACGCAATCTATTTATGGTTGAATAATGTTGATATTTATCACAAGATAGAAGTTTATATACATGTATATTCGCGTCCGTGACATTTACACGAAATCTTGCACGACACATACATTTAATTTTTTGTATCATCAAAGATGCGAATAATATAATAAAAAGTTTTCTTTTTAATTATAAAAAGCGAAATTCACGATAACGAAGCAACATTAAAAACGAAAAAAAAGATGGATAATTTTAGTATCACAAAGAATAAAAGCAGGAAATTATAATATAACACTTGATAGTTTCTACAATAAATTTATCAGATATTTAATGTGCAATCACATAACTTTTTCACTATTTTACATTTTACTTAATAACATTTATGAATCATTTAAATAATAAACTCTAATGAACTGCGCACAATAAAAACGGCGATTTCCAACCATTTTATAAAAACCGTATCGCACAATATCGTTCGGTGAAAATCGAATAAAGATTGTAAATTACGAACATCAAAATGCGAGCGACCGAGCCGAATCGAAGTGCGGAACCGGTTTGCTACAGAACAAATGATGTCAAAATATCAAACGCGTTTGAAATGGAGCTGACTATTGACACAAAATTTCACACGCGGTAAATCTACCGTACACGCATACCTTTTTCAGCGTCCCTCGACATTTCTCGATGCTACGTGCACGTTTCGAGCGACGACTGAGCGACGAGAATGTCTCGAGTATCGTGCGCGTCCGTGATTCGACTGACAATCACCTGATGATGCACCTGGCGCGTGAAGGCATACATACATATATGCACGTACGCTCGTAGCGGCGTGCCGATCGAGAGCCAATAATAAGAGATGCGTCGCGATGATAGTGCTTGATACAACTGACAGCACGACACGGTGAAACTGCGATCGCTAACGCGACCAGTCGCCCAGCAATACGAATACGATGAGGGGCGGACACGTGATCAGCTCTAATGATTTCGCAAAAAGGAGAGATAACGTAGTCTCAATCATTCTCTCGGTCATACAAGATCGCGGACATATTGATTTCCATATGAAAAAAACCTGATGGTTTCTTGAACAAAAATTTATTGTTGTTGCAGTCAAAGTCCGTTTGCGTTTGAGCAATTTAGATTTAATAATTACTAAGCCGCGTCACACATTATAAATTCCACATTGCATATAATAACATAAATCACATATAAAATCGGTTATTATTAATATCTTCCTCAATTAAATAATTAGTTTTGTTTATAATCCCAGCAATTAAAGATTTACGATCATAAAATCTTGTATTGCAAGAACGAGGCAATTATTGATGAATCATAAACAGCATTTAATAATGTCGCTAAATTAGCATAATCGCATAAAAATTGGGTTAAGGTTGATGCTTGGTTTAACGAGTGACATCGATGTGACAGAGCTCCAATTATTTCAATAATGTTGCGTAAATGGCTTTTCAAGCGAGTAAATCTTGTGTTGTTATAAATCCTTTCGTGCAGTAAATCATATATCAATCAAGATGTTAGTGTAATTGTATTTTGAAATATGTGCCGCACATGTAAAACGAGGGAACACAAAACAATGAAGTGTACACGATGAGAGATTTAAAATCTTTATAAAAGAGAATTTATATATGTGTGTGTGTGTGTGAGACAGAATTATTACTAATTATTACTATTCATTATTATTATACTAGTGACGTCGAAAATTGGCAAAAACAATTCAAGAATAATAATTAAATAATTACGTTGAAGTCAATGGCAATTATATAGCATAGAAATGTAATATCGAAATCACGTAGGTGGCAATATAATAACTTCATAAACAATTAATTTTTATAACTATAAAATAGTTTTAATATAAACCTATTCTTAGTCGAATAGCATTTATTATAATAGTATCATATAATATTAATATTTGAATTTATTCTATTCCTATAGAAATAATCCGCCGAATTTATATGACGAAATAAAACGCGATTTTATATCGCGTACTGCTAATATATCTTACACAATCGATTATGTTTACGATGGACAATGTATCTTGAATATTTAATCGCTCATGGTGGACTTTGGCAAAAGACTGGTACGCAATCCGGATGTTCCTAATTTTCAGCGAAGTATACATAACTCAATCTCGTGGCAATATTCATAAAAATTTATTCTCGGGAAAAATCCTTGCGTGCGGTATGGCGTATAGTTGGAATATGCGTTATATTTGCGATTACGTATTTTCGCATGTCCTTCGCCGGCAAGACGATTCTTCCGGAATTTGCACAACGCTCGTTCCCCGACCGGTCGTTTTACGGTCGTCGGAATAACTCCGTCGTGATTTCTCGTAGATTCGTAAAGGCACGGCCGGCGAACGACGCGGCGATTTCTTGAAACCACGTGCTATTCTCGTACGTTTTATTTCTGGAGACACAGCCGCGTCGTAAACCGGCTACGGGATGAGGCGTCACACTTTCGCGATATGCTATGTCCGCAACAGTAAATGAAATGATCGGTCTGATACTTCAAGAGTAATTAAATCTAACGTTCTCAAGTCAAATAAAAATTAATTAACTAGAAATAAAAAAAATTTCTACTGAAAATAACTAACTTTATAAGTAGCAAAAAATATTCCGCCAAAAGTAAATCAGATAATAATACAAGAGAGATATTAATTATAATAATTATAATAGCAGAGGCGCGTTTCTCTCAAAATGGACAAAATTATTAAGAGGCGTGACAACTTATTATCAAGTATGAGTCAAACTATATCATCGACGGTCATCAAAATTATGATTATGAAAACTATTCTTGATAGAATGGCCTTCAAGATGATCTCTCTTGCGTTTACTGCCACTGCAACAAGGAAAAGGGGAAAATGCACTTTCTAAGAGCGTTGATCATAAAGGTGGGTTACTACTGGGGCGCGCGCTACGACTACTTCGTCTACGTGAAGCTGCTCTTATGGCACATTCGTGTCCTCCCTTCTTTTCTCTATGCGCCATATATATAACTGCTCATGATGTACGTATACGCCTATGTAAAAACATGCTTGTTAAAATTTGACGCTGTGCTCACGAGCACACGATGAACACCATATTTGGAAAATATAAATGGGAAGCAATGACGACACTGCCAGTAAAAGGCTACATGCTTTTAAATTAATCAATTACTATTTCCATAGGCATATATATGACGTAATTATATTATATTGTAGATTAGTATTTAAAACGTCTATAGCGTTTTGATTAATATTTATAAATAAAAGTGTGATTAATAAATAGAAATGAACAAGTCTAATTTAAATAATTTAAAATTGGATCTTTTCTGAAGAGATCAGATACATATAAAGTCTGTATAAAATTACATTAAATAATATTTTGTTATTTAGTGACATACTTAATGTTTCCGCATCACTTGACACATATTAGATAAAGATGACAGATTGCAAGAGAGATAAATATTCCATTTTTTTTTTTTTTGCAAAAACATTTCACTTCACAAATGAATCACAGTTGCAATTTAAAATACCTCATAAACGATTTTCATTCTTTGGTTAAAAACTTTGTAGAGCGCTAACGACTATCACAAAACAAATGAATGAACAAAGGACTGTTTAGCGACAAAGAGAGCGAGAACGGAAGTCCGCCTGTGCTCGCACACTTTGTTGCAATTTTACGAAGTTGCGACCCCGATATACAATTTCGACATTCCGGACTGTACGGGTAGATTAGATTTGGCTTAAGAATGGATGAACCGTTCTGCGATAAAAGCAGGTAATTTCGCGACGCGCTCAGTAACTTCGACGCGACTTGGGCGCCCGGAAAATAATCAGCCGCGGGGTTTGAGCCGGTAGTCGCGTCGACAGACCACGACGTAGACAAACCTCCTTGTTCCAAAGGGCCGTTATCCGCGGCAGCCCGGAGAGAAGGGAATCGGTCTTTGTGCTTCTCGCGGAAATCGCAAGATTGGTATCGTCGCTCGGCTCCCACTCGGTATTGCGCTTCACGGCAGCGTCACTGTCGTAGTGGTCGTCGCCTTTTATTTCGAGGGAAATTAACGACGACCGCCGAGTAATTGTCGGGCGTTAAGCTTCCGCAGAACGTAATTACGCGGGGACAAAGCGGTGTGCGAAGTAAATACGAAAACGCGGCCGCGGGACGAATTGTCGCTTTCGTGGCAGCGAAACTTCTTCAGAACTCCGTCCTCGGCTGTTGTTCTCGTTTGTGTGGGTCTGAAGTTTTCTAACTGGCGAAAAAGAGTGTCTCTTCACAACAAGTCCGACCAAACAATTTATAATTGAAATGATAGTCGTGTCAACGCAGCTGCAGCGGTAATGTCAATTTCTGAATTAAATATACGGACATCGCGATATAAAAATATATTATAAAAAAATTCTCTCTCTCTCTTCCTCTTTTTTCGTCAACAAATTTGAACAAACGTATATCTTTTCTCAAATGCATACAAAATAGAATAAGTAATATAATCTACCTAATCAATGATACGCCTCAAACGTAAAAACGTCTTTGATTTAATGAGTAGTAAATTATAGCTCTCGTAGTTACTTAATAATGAAGTAGTGAGAAAAACACTTTTAGTTTCCTCAATATTCCGTAACTTTTTTTTTATTTCCGTAAACTTTTTACTTTATTTCCGTAATATTTTCTGCTTTGTCTCCGTCAAAAAACATGGTTAAATTTTTAAACTATTATTAGTTTTTTTTAAAGAAGCAAAAAGAACGTTTAGTTAGTCAAATATAAAGCTTAAGACTACGCTTAAGAAGTTTAATTAGTTTTTAAAAATACAATATTTGCAATTCTTAAATATTTTAATAAACAAATTATTAGTAATATGCAATATACAAAAAATATTAATTATAAAAATATTAATGGTAACTATAATAAAATACATTTATTGAAAAATATTTAATCTCAAATAATTGCTCTTTTTTATTTTGGTCTTTGGATGTTTCTTAACTCAATCTCTGTATATATGCAAAGCGATTTCTGCTGATTAACTGAGGAATTTGTAAATACCAGGAGATTAATTGCAGTAATTAACTCGCGGGAACGTGTCCGTTGTCGGTAGTTTTCGACCTAAATTAAACATCGCGGTGTCGTAATTACAGTGTAAGGCACGCATGCTGCATGCGTTGAAGTAAACACAAAGATATAATGACACGTATTTGTCGCGCGGGCGGCACCGCTGCATCCATTATCGGCATCCACGGCGATAGCCACGCGCCGACTACAGATGGGGCCTGTGGTGCTGCAATTTAAAAGTCCATTTGTTCCTGAATAACGTAGGAAACGCCGACAACCACCGGCACGCGCATTTTATCCGAAAAATATTGGGGCTGAAAATTGTATACGAGCCCGACAAAGAGAGAGGCGGAAAATGGTAGCAAGTGAAATAGTAAGAAGCGCTACATGAGCGCAGAATGCATACTTGAAAGTTGTAGAAGGAGGAGTTAAATCCGCAGAAAGCAAAAATATATATCTTTTGGTAACAGTTTCGAAATCTTATTGACATTATTTACGATATATCACATCTGTCAAAAAATAAAAATTACAGCTATATAGCATAATATAACAATAAATAATGAATTTTTATAGCTGTTTTTATCAGTTTCAACTTAAAACTTATGAAAATATATGTCCTCTTTTAACTTTTATAAATAAGAGAAAAATGATATTTCTCTTTATTAATTGAGTACTATTATTTTTAACCGGATACAAAAAATTGTTGTGCTCTAAACACATATAAGCATAAGACGTCACAGTGTGATATTTATTATTTTACATCTCATTTGCTATGCGTGTAGGTATTTTAATTTGTTTGACCATGAATGTGTTCAATACATTTTATTCTGTTTTTAAATAGTTTTTAATGTATGTGACACATAT